TAGAAGCTGGAATTTGTTAGTTTTCGTTAAGCTTGAATTGGAGTGTGATTCATATTTTAAGTGTTGTTTAATATAATTTAAGGCTTAGAATAAGTTTGTATGGTATTTTAGGACTTGTTGATATTTTTTGTTAAAGTTCCGGGGGCCTCGGGTGGATTCTGGATTGTAAACATATAAAAAATTGGACTTAGGCAAAATCTGGAAATTGTTGCCTTCTCGTGCAATCGCACCTGGGGAATTTAGCTCGCAGGTGCTACTTGTAGAAGCGAGATGGGCATCGCAGAAGCGGTCAGACGTGACTGGGTCAGTGGTCGCAGAAGTGGGCAAGTAGTGCATAGACTTGCGAGTGTGCGATCGCATAAGCAGAAATAGAGAGAGCATGCTGCTTCGCTGTAGCAGACAACTTCTTCGCAAAATCGAGTCCGCAAAAGTGCTAGAGTTCACACAAGCGTGGGAAGACCTTGCATCTGTGAGACCGCAAATGCGGCCAAGTGTATCGCATATGTGAAAACACTGGTCTGAGTACAACATAGAGGGGTTCTGAGATTTTCTTATTTTTGGACATTTCAAACACTGTTTTGGGCGATTATTGAGCGAGATTTCACGGGAGTTCTTAAGTTAAGTCACTTGTGATTATTTCTAGTCAATAATATTGAATTATCATCGAATATTCCGACTAGATTACGTATTTTGTAGGTGTAATTCGAGAATTTTGGCCTAGGGATTTGAAAATAAGATTTAAGGATTTGGAGGTCGAGTTGGTGTTGGAATTTGGTAAAATTAGTATGGTTGGACTCGTGGTTGAATGAGCGTTCATATTTTTTAACTTTTGTCGGGTTCTAAGACGTAGGCCCCACTATTGCTTTTTGAGTTGAATTTTAGTTTTTAACTGAAAAATATAGTATTTCACATGGAATTGATTCCTTAATTTATGTTGACTGTATAGAATTAATTTTGACTAGATACGAGGTATTCAGAGGCCAACTCGCGAGGCAAAGACTTATTGGAATAAAGAATTATATGGGTTGAGATAAGTAACACTTCTAAACTTGGTTCTGAGGATATAAATCCCTGAATTACGTGTTATATGATTTGTTTTGAGATGACGCACGTGCTAGGTGATGGGCGTGTGGGCATGTACCATTGAAATTGTGACTTAAGTAATTCTGTGGAGTTGCATAATCAATTAATCATGTATGTTCCACATATCCTCCACGTGTTAGAAAAATTTAGCTGAGATTCGTATTAAAGTTCATATTTAGGATATGTGCCGATATTTTTGGGACCCACAGAGGTCGTATTGTTGTTGAATTATTTGTTTAAACTGTAATTTTATACTCAGTCACATCTATTATTTGCATATCGCATCTCAGTCTCTGTTGCCATTCATTAATACATCAATTCATCATGTCAGATTGATTTTCATGTCATTGAGAGCCCGAGAGACATGAGATTGTGAGTGATATTTATGGGATCGGGTTGCACGCTGCAACATGTTTTATTTATTTATACTTGGATCTGGCTTATTATAGCGCTTGGGCTGAAGGAGTCCCTTCGGAGTCTGCCTCCCCTTCCTATAATGAGCGCAATTGATATTATATTGAGGGATGAATCTTCTCTAGGCATGGATCTTGCCCGAATCATTTACATTTTGGGGTGAATTTTTCCCGGGCATGGATTTTGCCCGAATCAATTACATTTAGGAAGGATTTTCCCTGGCGTGGATCTTGCCTAATTATTTATATTGAGGGATGGATCTTTCCTAGGCTGGATTGGCCTTATACAGTACTGAGTGACTAACTGTCAGTTTATATGTATGTATATATATATATATATATATATATATGGGGATGGATCTTCCCTGTGCTGGATTGACCATATACAATACTGAGTGATTGAGTATTCAGTGAGTGTGTCTGCACGAGGCTTCTAGTGTGGTGCATGGCATACATCATGTACATTGGCATGTAGATATAGAGATGTCATATTCCTAATATCATTCAGAATTGATCTATTTTGCTTGTATTGAGTTTAAATATTGAACTTGAAAGCATGCCTACATTTTCGTACTATTATTTTTATACTGGACTATACATGTTGAGCTTGTCACTACTTTCAGCCCAAAGATTAGTCTTGTTATTTATTGAGTACATTAGGTCAGTTGTACTCATATTACACCTTGCACTTCGTGTGCAGATCTAGGTGCTTCCGGATACGTCGACTGTTAGATTTCGGAGTTTCATCTGTTAGAGACTATCGAGGTAGCTGCCTAGCGTCCGCAGACCTTGACTCTCTTTCCTTTCAGTTATTTGTATTGTTCTATATTTCTAGACAGTATTTTTATCAGTCAGACTGTGTTGTTATTTAGATACTTATGTACTCAGTGACACTGAATTTTAAGAGTGTGTTGTATAAAGACAATATTTTGTATCAAAAAATTGTGGGATTTTACTCTTCAATTTATTTATTATGGCAAACTTAAAAGAATTTGTGATTTATTAAGGTTTTCAGCTTGCCTAGTATTGAGATAGGCACCATCACGACTAGGGTTGTGCACGGATCGGATCGGATCGGATTTAGCATATTTCGGATTCTAGAAAATGCAATCCGAATCCGATCCGAATTATATCGGATCAGATCGGATTTTAAAGTTTGGATCGGATCAGATATCGGATCGTATTATTATGCCTCAAAGTTAAACTAATATGTATATTTTCTTTGTAAAATAGTCAATACATTAAGAAAAATTCATGTTTATGCAATTATGAGAGTACTATGATGCCAATATAGCTAAATTTAGCAATTGTAAAGATAATAACTTGGAGGTTGATGTAAATTAAAGTGTAGTATTTATACATGTCCTAATAATTTCGAATTTCGGATTGGATTGGATTAAAATATACCAATCTGAAATAAACATAATCCGAAATCCGAAATTCAAAATTGAATGGATCGGTTCGGATTTCGGATATCCGATCCGAATGAACAACCCTAATCAAGACATGTGAGATTTTTGATCGTGACAGTTAGGCTAAAGCAGACAATATGTACCATGAGCTTGAGATGTGACAATGCGGTATCAGAGCTAGATTCATGGAATACAATCTAGCGCAAACATCGAGGAGGATGTCGAGTCCTTAACGAGAGGTGTACATGATGCCCATGATAGGTGATCACATACGACAACTCAATGAGATAGATTAGCAAGATTTTAGATAAACAAACTTCAACTAGGGGATGCATATGATGTANTATATGCTACAAACAAAATATTGCTTTTTTTTTTTCATCTCTCTTTTGCTTTATGCATATCCCAACTAACCCGAATTCACTCCACCATGCACCCTTCTCTATTTAATTTTTATATCTCTATGCATAAATAAATCAGAGTTGTACAAACCTTTTTTGAAAAAATTAAAACTCAATATAGACAAGTAATTTTGGAATTCCTACCCACATCCGTTGCCTATAACAAACATATTAACTTATCATATGTAAGTGATAAATAAAGTTGAATATAGCAATTTTTTTGTTCTTAATACCCAATTTAACACTCCTACATGTATAGTTTTCCAATGTTGGTCCCCAAAATCTAAAAATTTTATGTTGATACATTGACTTGTACAAAACAAGTGTTTCAAATGTCGGAATTGACAAAATGTGCACAATTCTTCCATATAAGAGAGTGAATGTAAAACAATAATTGATAAAAAAACTAGAAGAGAATAAAAACTTAACAAAGTTTGAACTTCAAAAATATTGGAAGAAGAAAAATCGAGAACGAAAAATAAAAAGCTTCTTTTATATAAGAGATGACTATATGACATATGTTTAATGAGTATGGATTTGATGTGTTCTCCACATTAGGATCGTCTCGATCTAAGCCCATGACACATATTGTCCGTTTTGAGTCTAGGCTCGCACAAATTTATCTTTTTGAGCTACGCCACCTCGAGCCCTGAAAGTGCGCGTACCATGTGAACTTGTGTCATGTCTTATAAAGCTCTTCACTTTCCTCTATTATCCGATGTGGGATTTGCGAAAGTTTCTCGGTTGACAAGCTTCTAGGAAAAGGGTGTATATGTCACCGTAGCAAATCCCGCATTGAAATGGGAGATGAAAGCGAAGAGCTTTATAAGACATGACACAAGTTCAAATGCTACGCGCGCTTTTGGACACGAGGTGACATAACCCAAAAGATAAATCTGTACAGGCCTAGGCCCAAAGTGAATAATATGTGTCATGAGCTTGGGTTGTGACAAAATGGTATAAGAGTCGAATCTCCCTCAGTACGATGGTGGAATAAACCTCAGCAAGGACGCTGAGTTAGGGGAGAGTAGGGGGTTGAATGTGACGCCCGGGCTAATAAGGGCGGGTCAAGCAGGATTGACGTGCTTATAGTCTGGCAAGCTTATGAAGAAGTGGTGCACATGTCACATTAGGCGAATCCCACATCAGAATAATAGAGAAAGTGAAGAGTTTTATAAGAAAAATGACATAAATTTACATGATACGCGCGCTTTTATGGCTCGAGGTAACGTAGCACAAAAAGACAAATCCATACAGGTTGGGTCATGACAAGGACAAATGAGAAAACACAAAGTCAAGTTTAGGTGTCTATTTGAAAACGAGAAGTTTTATTGTGTGCCTCACATAACTAATATTAGTTGTGTGAGGATTTTTTCTTCTCACAAAATTATGGACCCCAATTTTACGTTTATGGGTTCATACAAATTCGAGTCCGTAAAACTATGAGACAAAAAAAATAACTTGTACAACTTACACAAAATAAAATTTTCCATTTGGAAACTGTTGAAATTATAAGACCGATGTTGGACAATCATGCAAGTATGGGTGCCAAATTGAGTACTAAGCGAAAGTTTTGCTAACAAAAGGGAGGGTGCACGTTAGGCATTAGATTCTTGCTACGTGGCAACATGTAACTGGCGAACAACCTCCTTTTGAAGTATATGAGTGCCATCATTATATGCAAAAGCGGAGGGTGCGGTGGGACATGTGGTAGGGGGTGGGTGGTAGTCACCGAATACCGAGGGAATTCTGAATTCCCAGACATTTTGCTTTGTTATCTTTGGAACAAGTCTTTTCTAGTCTCCATTTTCTCTCTCTACATATACACATTCTCTTTCTACATATATATATAGGAGTACAAAAATATCTGCACTGTTCCAGATTTTCTCTCTTCAGATCCTTTCAAATTTCTCCGATCATCTCCAGTAGCCATGGTAAGTCATCCTTACATTTCGGCCACGCAATTTTTTCTGTTTTTTTTCTTCTTCTGAACTCTTGCTTTTGTGTTTTCAGTTGTTTTACTTTATGAACTGTGTTTTAAGTTTCTGATGTTGATCTGTTATCTCTTTGCTTTGGAGAAACCCTAGGTTCTGCTTTTTAGTTAATGGATCTGATTTTGCAGTTATTTTGACCTTGATCTATTGGTTACGTCTGAATTGAATCTCTTTACTAGTTCGATCCATGATTTTTCGATGTAGAGGAATTGTTTTCGAAGAAAATCTTAAAGTTTAGAGTTTTTGGATGCTGACGTGATTCGGTTTAAGTTTTTTTTCTATTTAGGAATACATTTGATGCTGTTCAGTTACCTGCATTTACTTTACGTCCTCAAAATTATAGTTATTTTTGCATCTCGTTAATCAGTTATGTTTAACATGGAATTTGGATCATCCCTAAGAGCCCGTTTGGATTGGCTTATTTTAAGTGCCTTTAAGCCAAAATAACTTTTAAGCCATTTTATTTATTCAGGAACTTTACAGGCTGTTCAGTTACTGGCATTTACTTTAGGGTCTTGGAATTTCTTGTTTTTTTTTGTTGCATATCCTCATATGTTATGAGGTACATCGTGGAATTTGGATAATTTTAAGGCAGAAATAAGCTGATTGTAGCTGGAAAACTTGGTCTTCACAAGCATAGCGCATAACTGAGTGGGAATGTTCTGCTGGTGATGCTGCCACAGAGCTAAAAGTTGCTCATGATTATGTGAATGTAGGATCAAAAAGATTTCTTCGTGGAACATGTATTCTCTTTTTTTCCATTTTTGAAAAAATTCTTTTTAAGCAGATGCTTATCAGTAAAAGTTGAAATTTAGCCCTGCTTCGGTTTGTGATACAGTATGCTAATTTTGTTATTGCCTGATAACTTTCAGTATGATGGAATTAGTAATCAGCATTGTGTTGTTAAAATATTCTTCACTTTGGAGCTTGTTGGTCTCTCCTGTTTACCACACCACTCTTCTCCCTTGACCGGATCTACACTAAATCTACAAATGGGACAAAGTGATGGGTTCATTTTTGCAATTAGCTAAAGGTGGGAGGTTAAATGTTGTATGTAAATAGCATGGGCGAATACCAGAGTCGATTATGTTCATGAGTAGAAGAGGTGGGGAACACGTGGACATGCATAGGTTATATGTTGTATGTTAAGTAGCATGGTGAATACAAAAGTTTATTTTCATGAGTAGCAGGTCGGTATCATGTGGACATGCAGTAGGTTGTATGTTCATTTTGAGTGGCTGCTGAAATACTTTGTTCCTCTGGTTTTCGTATTACAATGATTAAAATTTCTGTTATTCGCCTTGGAATTCTGCACAGGCTAATGCGGCATCAGGCATGGCTGTGCATGACGATTGCAAACTGAAGTTTCTGGAATTGAAAGCTAAGAGGACTTATCGCTTCATAGTATTCAAAATTGAGGAGAAGCAAAAGCAGGTCATCGTGGAAAAGCTTGGTGAACCTGCTGAGAGTTATGAGGACTTTGCTGCTAGTCTACCTGCAGATGAGTGTCGATATACAGTGTTTGATTTTGACTTTGTGACAGAGGAGGGTTGCCAGAAGAGCAAGATTTTCTTTATTGCGTGGTATTACCTTTGTTCTTAAATATAATCAGAGTTTGCTTATTATATTGCATGTTTGTGAATGCATTCTCTAACTGTTCATATTTGAGCATGTTTAGGTCCCCTGATACTGCGAAGGTTAGAAGCAAAATGATCTATGCTAGTTCCAAGGATAGATTCAAGAGGGAACTGGATGGAATTCAGGTTGAGCTGCAGGCAACTGACCCAACTGAGATGGGGCTGGATGTTTTCAAAAGCCGCACCACTTAAATAAAATCCTCTAGTACAGCAACGGATGTGCTCTTTGCTTTGCTCAAGAGAATTGTTAATAGTCCGTCGGGACGAGAGGGAAATATGATGTTTGTTATCAAGTTTAACATTGAAGTCGTCTTTAGAAAAATCATGTGGTTTTGTTCTTATTTTCGTGTTTGTCGTGTGAAACTTGTTCTTTGGTTTGGAGCTGGTAACAATTAACAATCCTTGGGTTGTTCTTTGGTTTGTATGTTTCTGTTGATAGCTGACCTGATTGCAACTTCTGTATCTTTGATTTATGGAGATGCTGACCGGCAGCCACTGTGATCATTTATAGTCGTTCATCTTCACATTTGTTTTGTTTTGTCTTGTTGATTTTGATGCTGGCGCCTTGAGTAACTTTTCCAGGTCTTGAGGCTTACTGGAAATATCTTAAATTGAGCTGACATACTATTTGTCCTTGTTCTTTTTGTGATTACAATGGATAAACTGTTTATGTTCTTTAAGTTTTAGCTTCATTTTCTTAATGTTTTATGAAATTACCTTGACATGTTACACGAGAGGTGGGTTATTCATCAATTGACCCGGCAGCCACGAACTATTTGGGAACTGAACATAATTTCTTAACTTGAAGCAAACTGACTTGAAGGCAATGCAAGAGAATGATTCACCTAATATACCACCTAGAATACATGTCATATGGGTTCGATAATTACATGATGACCAACAACTATTTTTTTAGGGTTATTACTTGTTAGGTGCATGACATCAAAATACTTGATACAGAGTTGCCTTCTATTCAATCCAGCATAGACTCCCGTGTAGTTGCAAACAAAAAGCTGAGAATGCCATCAACAGACTTGATGCCTTCCTGCTGCTTGGTAAAGGGAGCTGCAGAGCAAAATAGAAGTAGTTTAAGGCATAGGTGTAGTTAAATGAGAAAGATGTTCCATCACATTGTCATCTGAGTGTAAGTTGACCTGAATAGAATGGAATGAAACCAAAGAATTGCATAGGTCTCAACTTATTTGAAATTGTGAGTTGTTGATTGATTAGAAATCCTTTCTGCCACAACTTGGATCCATCGAGTCAACATGCCGTGTATTGCCATCATTGAGGCAGTAGGTCTCCTTGAGAATATAGCTTTCCCATACAGTACCTTGCGCTACAGCAATTTCAGTAGGAAAGAAGCAATAGAACCTAATGCGAAAAGGTGGGTGGGCATGCAACTGACATCATAAATAGACAGCTCTGGAGCACTCTCTCTAATAAAACAGCAAAAGGATAATTGATTAAGTACTAAGCAGACAAATGATGCAGGTAAAACAAAGAACATCAACACTAAAGAAATGAGCTTAATATTCTTTAGTCTTGGACAAAATGTGTTGGAATGGAATACATTCCATTATAGTCTACCTAAATTGCAAGCAATAAAGGTAGAACTAATGTGCGATCTATGGTAGTAGCACCGTAGCAATGCTACTTGGAGCTTTCATAACAGAATGTGAAATACTGCTACTGTAGAAGCTCCGATTATACACTTGAAACGTAAACCACCTAACAATTTTCAGGTTAAAACTTTAGATAATAGTTCTCATCGTTTTGCCCAAATCTAATGCTTTTATCAGACAATCTGATTAAAAGAAGTGCCTATCAAAGAACCGGAATAAAACCAGTGTCGAATACGTACATGATGTGCTAGGAAAAGAACGATCTTAAAATTCAAAAGGAGAATTAACCATGATTGACGTGCAAAACTGAAATAGGAACAGAAAAACAAAAAAAGGGACACAAAAAAGAACAGAATACTAATTCAATTGAGATGCAGACATGAATGGGTTAGAGAAAGCACACAAGAATGGACTACAGCACTGCACACGAAAAGAAAGAATCCATGCAAGGCAAGCAAAACTAACAAAGGCTGCTGATTCTTACCGAAGTGAGAAACTTCATAGGCAAGAAACAGTTGCTGCAGGAGTCCTATGACATACACCTCTTCTGACATATGACAGTTGTACCATCATTGGTACATGGGTCTGCCAATAACAAAAAACAACAAAAGAAAGTAGGTTAGATAAAGGAAGCACAAACAAAAATGCTTAAGGTACACCACCAATTCGCAAACTCATGATAAGGGGGAAAAGCCTAAAATTTCGTTAGTCCAATCACATCTCATACAAGATATGTGAATGTTATTCTCTTTAATTAGCACAGAACATGTGTGTGTCCTACCTGGACGTGTTTGAATGGTTACCAGATTCAACCAAATTTTACAGCAGTCCAAGCTAAATATAAGGAACAAATGAACAGCCAGTGCTTGCATTTTGCAATAGGTAGCAGGATTCCAATTGGAAAGAAGTAACAGCTTCAGTGATACTGTCACTGGTCTACTAACAGTTTTAACGAACAAATGTTGCTTCTGCGCCTCTATAAGTTAACAGAACGTGTAAACTTCCAAATCAACAACATATTCATGTTGCCCGTGTGAATAAAGTTAGGACAATATGCCCCCAAGGCCTAGCTCAAGTGGCAAAGGGTGGTGGATTTGTGTCTTAGGTCACAGGTTCAAACCCCCACACCATGCAAAGCAAAAGCCTGGTATTTAAGTGGAGAAGGGTAGAGGGGGGGCCTATTATCCACCGAGTTTCGAAGGTTGTGGTTGGTCCAAAGGATCGGCCCCAGACGGATTTCTCGGTCATCAAAAAAAAAAGTTAGGACAATATAAAATTTGAAGTATATTATCAGGTACTAATAGTGAAAATAGTCATGCGAATTATGGTTGTTCCAGAAAATACAAACACGCAGAATCATACATACATTGCCTCTCCTGAAACCATTTACGAACCATTTCAAAAAAAACACATTAAACTAAATTGTAAAAGGTAAATCTTGCAAATTTTTTTGATTTGCACCGGGTGTCCGAGTCTCTTCGAGCCCCGACTAATTCCGGGGGTACACAGGCCTTCGGCAAGGAGTTTCCCGCAAGTGCACCACGGTTAATTCAGGTTTTACCCAGTCCGATGGCCCTCAGAAATTGTTTGCACCCAGTGGGTTTCGAACTTGAGACCTTGAAAGGGAGCAAACCCCAAGGCTCAAGTCAATTGCCACCAGGCCAACCCCTGAGGGTTCAAATTATTTTTGTAACATATCTCCAATTAACTCAAAGATCGTCAGATATATTCCAAACAGTTGGATCTATAAGAGACAAGGGGAAAAAAGTCCAGTTATGACAATCAGCACTGTATGATTTAATATACAGTAAAAAGATAAGAAAAAGTAAGTGGCAAACTACCTCCCTCGAAGTTCTCGAGATGCCCCAACTCTTAGTTCATGATCCTCAGATAAAAAGGTGGGGCCTTGAACCATTCATGGATGCAGCATTTTGGTGTAAAAAATTAGGGTTGACGCTATCACGTCCTGTACACATATTCTGAATTTTGATAGTCACTAGTGAATCATAGTAACTGATTCTTGCAGCGGTGCTATCAGATCGGGGGAACTCATCTTTCAGGTTCCAGGGACTAAAGAAGCATATGTGGCATGAGACACCTTCAGACCACTTCTTATCATCTCATCACGCAATTCAAAAGCTTTCGACATTTCTCCAGCGATGCAGCAACCATAAATCAAAAGGTTATAAGCCACCATATCAGGCTTCAGACCATTAGTCAACATAGATTCCCATAGGCCTGTTGCTCCTGACAGATCACCCCTCCTACAAAATTCATAAATGATCGTTGAGTAACTTATGCAATCTGGGGAAATACCATTATTTTTCATTTCAAGCAAAACATTGATTGCTTCCTGAATTTGGTCCAATCTGCATAAACCCCGTATAATAATATTGTATGTCACGGTATTTGCAAGATATCCTTTAAGCATTGCATCATGAAGCTGTTTAGCTTCTACCATGTACCCTTCACCTGCAAGATGATCGAGGAAACAACTATATGTGAATTGGTTAGGTATCAATCCCTGAGCTAACATTTCTTTGTAAAAACTCTCTGCTTTATCAACTAATCCAGCCTTGCACAAGTTATTTATCATCACAGTGTACGTCACGATATTTGGGATGCATCCTTCACTGACCATTATATCCCAACATCTAAAAGCCTTTTTAAGATCTCCAAATTTGCCATACGCATCGAGCATGCTAGTGTACATTACTTCGTCTGGCTTCAGTCCTCGGTTGTGCATCTCCTTCAAAATCTTAACTAAATAATTCATATCATGATGCTTTAGAGTTCCATAAATAAGTACACCATAGCACACAAGGTCCATGTTAATTCCCTTTTCCGCCATCTCATCTGTAGTGTTTAATGCATCCTTTAGTCTTCCTTCCTCGCAATAACCACGCAAAAGAGCAGAGAAACACATCTCATTCAGATAATGACTTTGTTTTTGAAGGTCATCAACAAACTCTTTTGCTTCAGATACTCGACCTTTTGCACAAAGTCCAGTTATCAGAGGTCTGTATGTGTATGTGTCAGGAACAAGACCCTTCTCCACCATTTCATCAAGCAATTCAAAAGCCCTTGCGGTGTTCCCATCTTTACAATGCCCTTCAATTAATACATTATAAGTGATCTCATTAGGAGTTATATTCATTTTCACCATCTCATCAAACAATTTACTTGCTTCTGTCATCATGCTTGCACGACAAAAACCAGAGATAAGTGCAGTGAAAGTGAAAGTATTAGGTGAGATTCCTTTGCCTGTCATCTCGTGGTAAAGCCTAAAGGCCTTGTGCACTTCTCTTTCCTTGCAGTATCCATCTATCAATGACGTATATGTTACAACAGTTGGGTTCAATCCTTTATCAATCATCTCATTTAAGATAGATTCTGCAGCACTACATTTTCCAGCCTTGCAATGGCCATTAATGAGAGAATTGTAAGGGTATACGGTTAGTTCTACCTCATTATCGAGCATTCTATTGTAGAGACTAAGTGCACCATCCAATTTCCCTCGTTTGCAGAAAAAGTCAATCATGATGGAATAAGTTATACTATTCGGGCACAGCCCTTTATTCTCCATTCTACCAAAAAGCGACTCTGCTTCATCCAGCTTCCCATCTTTACACAATGAATTAAGCAATGCATTATAAACAAATAAATTCGGCATAACTCCAACTTTTTCTACCATATCAACCAATCTATATGCAGCTACACAATCACCCCCTCTCCTCAATCCATCAACAACACTCGACACTACAGCCTCGCGTGGAACCAAACCCAGCCCCAACATCTCATCCACTAAGCTTCGACCAAGCTGAAATTCGCTCACTTTACACAGCCCCAAAATCAAAGAACAATAAGTGATGACATCAGCATTCAACCCTTTACAACCCAACGAATTCTTAATTTCAACGGCCTCCCAAACTCTTCCACCCTTACAAAGCCCATGAATCAATATATTGTACAAGATAATACTCAATTTACTCCCATTTCCCTCAACCCATTTCATCATTCCCTTAGCCTTTTCAAAATCTTTCAACTCACATAAACTCTTAAGCACAGCTGTATAAACATACTCATCAAGCTCAATACCTAAAGTCACTGCTTTATCAAATAACTGCAAAACCAAATCGAACCGTCTAATTCTAATCAACCCATTTAACACAGTGCTTAAAGTCCTTAATTCTGGTACTAATGAATTCTCCATCATAAGCCTAACAATTAAAACAGAATCAATTACTCTCTTATCCTGAACATAACATTGGGTCAACAAATCAAACCCCAAAGAGTGATAAAAATTGAATCTTTTATAAGTATCTAACAAATTACCAAAAACAAAACTTGGGTTTTGTTTTCTTTGCAAAAGGGTTTGTAAAAGTGAAGTGGCAGGCCAATAAAGATTGGACTGAACTAAAGAATGTACTAAAATACAAAAAGATGCATTTGAATGGTGAAAGTTCTTGTGTAGGCCAAGAAAATTGAAGAAGCGTAAAGCCAACCTTGAATCATCAAGGGTAAAAATGAGAATTTGCTCAACGTGATGGGGTTTTAGTTTTGTGGAAATGGAGCTGTTTAATGCTATGTTCCAGCTCCGTTTGCTCCGAACGATTTCGTTTAGAGTTGAAATGAAGTTTTGTTCGTTTTCTTGGTTGTTGGGTGATGTGGATATAGTTCGCCGGAAAATGTGGCCGGAGAGTGGCCTGCTCCGCCGAAGGGAAGGGTTCATTTGGTGGTTTTGGTGAAAGGGTAGGATTCGTCAAGGAGGTGCCGCTTTCTTGGGGATCCAAGTTGATGGAGGCGCTTGAGCCTATTTTGATAATAGTGTAAATTTGAAGGGCAGAAGTGCCAACTTTAAAAGTAGGAAAATACATAGGTTGCTCTTTAAATCTGTCCCCAAAAAACGAGGATTTGACCAAAATCATCCCTCTTGTTTCACTCAAACTTTCACTTCATCCTTTTAATATTTCACTTAACCTACAACATCCTTTAAGTTTCCCAAAGGTTGACCAAAAACATCCCTCTGTTAAATTTGCCGTTTATATTTGACGGATATTGTATTCTCACGTGACTTCTCTTTTTCCCTCCATTTTCTCACAAAATTTTCCCTCTTACCTCCTTTTCACATAACCAAAAGCCACTTTTGGGGGAAAGTTGAGATAGGATTTCTAATGGTTGAACAACTTCTTCTTGGGTGAAGTTTCTACCTTTCAGTATAAATTTGACAATCTTATTGTTGAACCGTGATACACTCCCAACCTGGGTTCCAAACAGTAAGTATCTCATTTTAGTTTTTCTTGGTTTGTTTTAGTTATAGACATTACTTCTTCTTCTTCTAGTCATAGACATTAGTTATATTCTGTCTTCCTCTAAAATGAATGCAAAGGTAAAGGCATAATACCTTAATGTACGGGAGGTTCTGGACAAATGAACGTAAATGTAAAGGCATCAATTATATACATTAAAACAGCAAGGGACCAATTTTAAGAAAGAATCTTATGTTTAACATAAAAATAGCTTCTTTTATTATTATATAATAAAAATTACTTTATTGGCAGATTCAATGTTCGAAAGTCAAGCAGTATATAGTGATTCTAATAATGAGTCCGATTATAGAGAGTTTGAAGATTCAGATTATGAAGATGACATTTTATTTGATAGAAATGTTGATTCGTCGGTTGAAACATTTTCTGTCAATGCCAATGAAAATACAAGAACAAATGATGATAGTAGAGAGTTTATTAGCCAAGAGTTGCAAAAGCATATGCAAAATGAAGATGGTGACTCGGATTGTGTTGTTTCCAGTGACACAAAAAGCTTGAATAGTGATAGTGATGCATCTAATGAAGATTTTAACTTTCCAAAGCACAATCCGAAAACTGATGGCTCTAATCCTAAGCTAGCATTAGGACAAGTATTTCAAAACAAAAAAGAGTTTAAGGAAGCTGTAACTACTCATGAGGTTAAAAGAGGAAGGACAGTCGAGTGGATTAAGGATGATTCAGAAAGAGCAAGGGGAAGATGTAAGCATCGTCCTTCTTGTGAGTGGGTTATTCTAGCTTCAAAAATGCACAGAGATACAAATTTTCAAATAAAAACTTACAACTCCGAGCATACATGTTTCTGTTGGAATGTCAAGAATAAGAATGTTACTTCCAGTTGGATTGCAAAGAAATATATGGACAAAAAATCAAACAGAGATTGGAAGACATCAAAATTCAGAGATGAAGTCAGTAGAGCACTGGGAGTAGACGTATCTTTATGTCAAGCAAGAAAAGCTAAAAAGAAGGCTATTTCTCTTATTGATGGTAACTTAAATGACCAGTTTAACATGTTGTGGAATTATATTAATGAGATCGTGCGATCTAATCCAGGAACATCAGTTTACATGGAGTTAAAACCAAATGAGACCCCTAACAATCCTTCTAGATTCCAAAGATTATACATTTGCTTTGCAGCATGTAAAGAAGGCTTTAAGGCAGGTTGTAGGAAGATTGTTGGTGTTGATGGTTGTTGGTTGAAAGATTCTATGTATGGAGCACAGTTGCTTGCTGCTGTTGGTTTGGATGGCAATAACAATATCTTTCCTATAGCCTATGCCATCGTGGAAAAGGAGTGCAATGATACATGGCAATGGTTTTTGAACTATTTGATGATTGATATTGAAATAGAAGAGCAATGTCTCTGGACATTCATGTCAGATAAGCAAAAAGGCCTTCTTGAAGCTTTCGAGAAAGTGTTACCAAATGTTTCTCATAGGTTTTGTGCACGACACTTGCACAATAATTTCAAAAAGGCTGGGTTCTCTGGTCATACGTTAAAAGATGCTTTTTGGGAAGCTGCTAGAGCAACAACGGTTGAAGCGTTTAATGTATGTATGTTGAAGATACTTGAATTGGATAAAGAAGCGCATGAATGGCTTTCTACTAAGTTACCTAATGAATGGTCCAGATCTCACTTCTCACCACTTTCTAAGTGTGATGTGTCGTTAAACAATGTGTGTGAGGTCTTCAATAGTTTGATTCTTGATGCTAGAGATAAACCCATTATTAAACTTTTGGAGACCATAAGACACATACTAATGTCTAGGGTTGGAACCAACAGGGATAAAGCTGAAAAATGGGCTTCAGGTGATATTTGTCCAACTATAAAAAAGAAATTGCATAGAAACATGAAGGAGCTTCTGGTTATATTCCTCGAAAAGCCGACTCATGGAATTATGAGATCCTTGGGTCTACTGATAATGACACTTGGACTGTGGACTTGTTTAACAAGATATGTAGCTGTAGAAAATGGGAATTATCAGGGATACCTTGCAAACATGCTATTTATGCCATATGGATGAAAAAGGATGATATTGCAGACTATGTTCATGACTGCTACAAGGTTGAGACATACATGAAAGCATATACAACCATATTCCCTATGAATGGGCAAGGTTTATGGCCTAAATCATCTAATCCTAAACTATTGTCACCTTCTTATTTGAAAAAGAAAAAAGGAAAGAAACAGAGATTAAGAAAAAAAGAAGTGGATGAACCTGGAGCCTCGAGGACTAGGATAAAAGAAAACAAAAATCAGTTGATTGTAGCAAGTGTGGTAGACCTGGCCACAATAAAAGAACATGTTCTTTATATAATGTTGTTGAACCAGAACCAACAAACTACACTTCATTTTTGGATTCTATTATAGTTGAGAACACAACAAATTGGACGCAAGAATCTGCCCCTTTTCGTGAAAAACTTCCGGTGAGATGCATATATCAATAATGCTTGTCTTACTTCACTGTAATGCAATTCATCTACATTAAAGTCATTTTATTTCCTTTTCAGGTTAGAAGAGGCCAGTAGCACGGATGTGCCAAGTTGCAGAGTGTCATTGTCATAGATGTGACAATCCTTTTCATTTTGTTCATTTTGTAATGACAATATTTATTTTGGAATGACTCAAGTTCATTTTGTAATGTGATGACTCAATTATGATGACTCATTTTTCAGTTTCTACACAAAAAAACTGCACATTATTAAGTTTCTGCATACCAAAATCTGCATATATTTTCAGTTTTTGCGCGCGATTGTCTACCCAAATACAGGAAAAGGTGTTGAAATCAATTCAAAAGATTCACATTCTGCAAAAAAAATGTAGGAAAAAGAAATGAGAAGTTTTGATTGATCAGTAATCGGAAAGAGATCGGGAAAATCAAAGACGGAAAAAGATGGAACACACTTTTTTTAAGAATGAAGAGGTTGCTGAAGATGAAGGCTCTCCCTTATGGGAAAAAGAGAAGTCACGTGAGAATACAAGATCCGTCAAATATAAACAACAAATTTAACAGAGGGATGTTTTTAGTCAACCTTTGGTAAACTTAAAGGATGTTGTAGGTTAAGTGAAATATTAAAAGGATGGAGTGAAAGTTTGGGTGAAACAAGAGGGATGATTTTGGTCAAATCCTCCCAAAAAACAGTACTACTATTTATTACGAAATAAAAGCAATATAGCAAAAACTATGTAATAACTAGAACTTAACATAAGAAGGAATAATAATATTAGAAGAGAGGATTTCTTTTATTTCAACTGTATCGAATAGGTTCATCAGTGAACTTATTCATAAAAATATTTGGTTGTTAGAAAATCAGTCCAAAACCTGTTATGAATACATAACCAATCCAAAATATGTTGTGAATACATAACAAATCTAAAATTTGTTATGAATACATAACTAATCCAAAGTCTATTATGGAAGACATCCATCGTTGTTCATCCACTTGGGAGATTTATAACACTCTCTCTTGGATGTTCATTAACACATAATATACCTCATTAAAATCTTACTAAGAAAACCCCAGTAGAAAAAAATCCTAGTAAAGGAAAAAGAGTACACATATCTTGTAATGCGCATTAAGTGTTGACTCATTAAAAACCTTAGCAGGAAAACCCATATGGGACAAAATCTTGGTTAAAGAAAAAAGAGTACAACGCGTATTTCTCCCCATCATAAAAATCTTATTTAATATCTCGGAGACGGTGCATTCCAATCTTGTACCTTAACTTCTCAAATGTTGATTCGGCAATGCCTTAGTGAACAAATCTTCCAAATTATCACTTGAACAAATTTGTTGAACATCTAATTCACCATTATTTTGAAGATCATGCGTGAAAAAATTTATTGGTGAAATATGTTCTGTTCTGTCTCCTTTAATATATTCCCTTTTAATTGAGCTAAACATGCAACATTGTCTTCATATAATGTTATTGGAATTTCCTTTCCCCTTGAAAGGCCACGTATCTCCTAAATATGTTGAGTTATTGATCTCAACTAAAGGCATTCTCGACTCGCTTCATGAATGACTATTATCTCTGCATGATTTGAAGAAGTAACAATCATAGTTTGTTTTGTTGGAATACCATGATATGGTAGTACCTCCACATGTGAATAATAGCATGTTTGAGGTTGACCTTTATGTGGGTCAGACAAATATCCTGCATCTACATAACCAATCAGTTGTGACCAGGATTCATTTGAATAACACAATCTCATATCAATGGTCACTCACAAATATCTGAATAGATGTTTAATACCATTCCAGTGTCTTTATGTTGCGGGAGAACTAAATTTTGCTAACAACCTTACAAAGAAAACTATATTCGGTCAAAAATTATTAGCAAGATACATTAATGCCCCAATTGCACTAAGATATGGTATTTCAGTACCTAGAAGTTCTTCATTATTTTTATGAGAATGCAATGATTTTTATTTATATCAAATGATCTTACAACCATTAGGGTACTCAATGGATGTGCTTTATCCATATAAAAGCACTTCAAAATATTTTCGGTGTATGTTGATTGATGGGCAAATATTCTATTTTTCAAATGCTCAATTTATAAGCCAAGACAAAATTTTGCCTTTCTAATATCTTTTATTTCAATTTTTTTTTCTTCAAACATTCTATTGCCTTTGGAAGTTCTCCAGGAGCTCTAATAATATTCAAGTCATGAACATACATAACTATTATGATAAATTCAGTTCCAAATTCTTTTATAAGGACACAATGATAAATTAGGTCATTCTTGTACCTTTTTTCAATAGGTATTCGTTAAGGCAATTATACCAAATGCTCTCTGATTGCTTCAATTTATATAAAGATTTCTGAAGCTTTACCGAATAAGTTTCCCGGGAATCTTTGTATGTTTCAGGCACTTTAAATCCTTCAAGGATTTTCATAAAAATTTCGTTGTCCAGTGAGCCATATAAATAGGTCGTGACAACATCCATATGACGTATATTAAGTTTTCATAAATTGCTAAATTGATAAGATACATGAACGTGACACCACGAGCGAATATATCTCCATATAATCAATGGCAGAATATTTATGAAAAATGTTGTGCCACAAGTCGTCTTTGTATCTATAGACTTGATTTTCACTTTTGCACAAGAACATATGTGTACCACCACTGGGCTTTATACTTTCAGGTATTGGGACTACACGTCCAACTTCACAATTTTTAGGCGAAGTCAATCTTGATTGTGCATTTTTTATTTTAGCCAATCATTTATCTATCCACATTTTATGACAAATTTGAGCTCAAGACCCTCGTCAAATATTAACAATATTGAGCGCTACGTTATATCAATAATATCTTCGACGGTCATTTTATATCGGTTCTAACATCACTCAATAAAGATATAACTTGTCGATATCTCATTATTTTCAGGCACCTGAGCCTCTCTTATGAGGTGTTATAAAGTGTTATGTCGCGACGCTCTTATAAAGCACCTGTCTCACTATTATGACCAACTTGAATATTTGATAATCTCCTTCTTTAAGGAGTTTTATTTTTGAAACTGATTGATCTATTATGATTCATGTGTGCCATACACTTTTTCCTTCATGGATTTTATTCTATTTGGAGCATTAGCAGTTGAAATATGATATCTAGATTTGGGTCAACAAATGTGCCTGTCAATATTCTGCAAATGAATTATCACTTGAACTTCAAGTTCGTAGTTTCTTGTACGAGTATCTAGATGTACTCGTAATAGTTCATTTCATTACTTTTTCAACGGCCCATTTTCTCCCATAATGTTGGATCACCAAGACATATTCATATCATTCTCTAGAGACCCGTCTTTGTGTGTCATGGTGGAGCAATTAAATCATATAATACATTCATATTTCTAGATAAAACTTAGTTGGTTCCTGATCCTGAACCAATTTGTGATAGGGATAATTTATTATAACTTGTTGTTTAGATACATATAAGTGCTGCTATATAATAAATAATATATCTCATATCAAATTTTTGTTTTTTGTAGGAGTTTTGTTCTCATAACTAATTGTGTAGTTATGATTGAAAACATACAATTTCTACTAAACCACCTTAGATTTAGACCAACATTATCAAGATAAATCATTATAATTTACATTCTGAAACTATGCTAAATTTGAGCAAGCAGGCTTACAAAAGCCAAACTGCAAGTTGATAACAAAAGACACATATGACCATACAATAGATGCATCTATTAAAATTTACATAATAGTAAACGGTCCACATTGCAGGTGTCTGAGCCCATATATATATATCACCTTTTATTCGTTTTAGAAATCAAGGGATACACTTCCCAATCTTTACTGGTATACCATGAGAAAAATAGCACAAGACAATTCTTGGAGAATCTTCTACTTTTTCAATATATGCCAATGTGTATTCTCAATTAATTTTCGCATCATAATTGAACCGGAATGGCCAACTCATGCCAGCTAATATTTGTTTCAGTAAACATCTAGTTTACTTGTTGCATGTGATTACATTATCATGCTTAAACTTGTGTAGTACAAATAGAAGATAAGTCGGGTAACCTTTATATTTACCTGGTATGATTATAGTAATATAAAGATATTCAACTTTTCTTTCATTTATAGTCTCAATATGCTAACCATTTTAGCTTATACATTTGAAACTCAAAAATTTCCTTTTGAGACTTGCTACAATATTAATGTCATGAACAATTTTGTTCATTCGAGTAGTAACAAATTAGTTCTTTCGGAGCTCTTAATTCATTGTGTACTACAAGATCTTTTATCACACAATTCATATGGTAAATTTATCATAAACAAGATTATTTCTTTCTTGAATTTTGCATTTAATAACCTTTTATAAAGCATGTCAAAATATTTTTGACATACCGCATGTACGCGATATATGACATATTTATATAACTACACAGTAATATTCATTATATTTCTTTCTCTCAAACCTCCCTAAGGTGAGTTATGGTATGTATCCAATCACGCATTGTACGCCTTTATTCCTTACCTTTACACATATTGCTACATTCAT